ATAATTTTTGAAAATACATAAATTATCTTGCGAACACTTGTTTGGTCAGAAGAATGAATTACGTGAAAGCTGACTACTAAATATATTATCAGAAGTTGATGAATTTTTAGTATTTGATATGGGCACACTTTGCCCTCCTCAACTGAGGGCGAATGAAGATTCAGTGGTCTTCAGAGAGTGAAAACATTGTTCTGTACCATGACACAAGAACGCTTTGATGGTGCTGTATGTTATATACACAAGAAAAAGCTGGACAAATTAGACAGGATGGTGACTGTACAGCAATTTGTGGCTTTCAGGGAGACCTGTAAGAATACTTTCAGTTGTTTTGATTAGGAATGCACTGATATGGGAATTCTAGGCAAAAGCTGATATATTTAATGTACATACGGTCCTATGGAAAAGATTAAACACCCTCGTCAAATGACATTTCTATTGTGCTGAGTTTAAAAAGCCAACATTAATTATGAAGCATGCTGTAATTTTTGCTCAGGCCGCAATTTATTCTTTCATTTTTTATTTTTTCCCCCCAAGATGTTGAATTTCCAAAAAAAAAATAATATATATATATATATATGTGTGTGTGTGTGTGTGTGTGTGTGTGTGTGTGTGTGTGTGCAGAAATACATTCTCTGTAGAGGATGTTAATGCCCAAACTTTTGCTTTTTGCATACAACGATGTTTGTGGATCACACCTTCATGATCTACCTGGATTAGCATTACAGAAAAATATAATATTTCTAGGTAGATAGTTACAAATGCAGTAAAATGAATAAAATACAGATATTTTAGTGCAGTAATTCTAAAAACATCATCTTATATGAGTTTGAAATATCAGTCAAATCTAAATATCTGTTTGATACCAGTCATTATTGCAACCAACGATCTGCTGATATAGATGTCATTCATATGTGAGTTGAAACACCAAAGCTCATGCCTTGTTTAATCTACTTGTTTGTCTTTTCTTTGAGCCTACCTCAATTTGTCTTTGATTGTCAGCTAAATAAATATTTCCACTTTTTAAAGGATGTATAGAAGTTCCACCAAACAAAATCAAAATTAAAATAATTGATTGGAAACTGTTCTGTGTGAAGTATGTTACATTTTAAGGTTGATCTTTTAATGATGAGTTTGATCCTGATGTAAATTAGTGTCTGGGTGAGTCTCCCCGGGGTGGTGTGTGGGTATGTGAGTGTGTGTGAGGGGCTACTTACTGACAACTGTGTCAGCCTTTCATGTTGAGGCCTCTAGAGGGCAGACAATTCAAAGCTAAGAATTCACTCAAAGCAAAAAGAGAACAGAGCTTTGCTCAACATCTGTAACAGACACATATATACAATATACAATATGATCATTACCTTACTGTCTACACAAGATAAACAAAGTGAGAAGAATAGAGTGAAAGGAGGAGCTTCACAGTATTATCTTAAACTTAAACACTTAAAATATACAACAACTATTAGTTTCCATCTAAAATTTGAATAGGTTGATTTGAAGCCTCTAGAGGGAAGAATATGTAAACTCAGGCTCCACCACCCCTTTATAATCACTCACTACACAAAACCTGTATGAGCCATATCAGCATTTAGACTCCACTGTGGCAGCTTTAGGTTCATAATGAGGATTCCAAGCATCATTTGTTTCATCTTATGGTCCATACAAAGTAATCACTTATGAGTACATTATGTAGTGATATGATGATGATGAATTGCCTGGTTAAATTTACAAGGCATCTCTTAATTATGTCGTGTAAGTCACTTTATGGAGAATTATTCTGTTTGTTTCACTGTTTATTGTTATGCTGTATGTTTTTTTTTAAGGTTTCTCATGTCAGGAGATCAGGATGGATCAGTCTCCACCTCAGGTGAAGAAACCTGGAGAAAGTGTGAAGATTTCCTGTAAGATTTCTGGATATGACATGACGAAGCATTACATGCACTGGATAAGGCAGAAATCAGGGAAAGCTCTGGAATGGATTGGGAGAGTAGACTCGGGTACAACTAAGGAACCCACATATGCAGATTCCATGAAAGGCCACTTCATACTGACTGAGGACGTTTCCACAAGTACACAGTTCTTAGAGGCCAAGAGTCTGAGAGCAGAGGACACTGCTGTTTATTACTGCGCTCGAGAGGGACACAGTGATGGAGTTGATGGAGCAGCTGAACAAGAACTAGCTGAATAACAAAACACTAGGGCTGCAGTCAAGATCACTTAATTCAAATTCAAGACGATGACAGAGCTGAGACTGAAAGTGGACAGAGATCAAGCTAAAGTTCTCAAAGAGAACTTGGTGTCTGACCCCTTCAGTTTGACATGTGCAAATTCAGTCTTGACTCGATCTGGACTAGTCATAGTGTTGGACTCGAGTATGGTGGTCTCTACTACAGACCAAGTTAAATCCAGGTCCAAATGTGAGTCAGACTAAGTTCAAGACCTCAAAAAAATGGAATCATTTTCTAGAGCAGACCTTAAGTTTTAACTGCTTCGAGTATACATTTTTTGATATTTTCTAAATGTTTGGAGGAGGCATTTAAAAGTGAACCATACATTCACATGGGAAAACAGAATTGTTGCTTTGAATTCTAGACTTTTATAGTCATTAATTTCATTTTGCTACCTTGTTTAAACCATGTTATGTAATTTCCTAATTAATTACTTAGTAATAACAATCCTACATTAATTACATAGATATTAAGGTATACTAATTAATTACAAAGTTATTAATAATTATCTTTGCATTTAACTTAAATTCTTCATCTGTAGATTCTAGTCAGGGCCTTTTCTATTTGTTTGCAATGTCAGGAAATAACAAATATGTCAAAAATGTAAAGATTTTTTTTTTTTTCCATGCACCAGAAAACTGTAATTGCAACAACACGTTTTCAAGAACATGTTATGCATTGAATGTTTACAAATTACTTCAGTTGATGATCAAGAGATTTAGACAGAATTAGTTATGAGGGGAAAATATTGCATATTATTTTTGTGTCATTTTAAAACAGTCACATAATTTTATTTTGTTTTTTTGTTTTTTTTTCCATCAGTATTTCACCCCAATAAAATCTCTCTGTTGCATCTGACCACCCCATTCTGAAAGTTCAAGCTACACTCCTGTCTCTACTACAGAACAAGTTAGAAAAGCACCAATGAGAGTGAGACTGAGTCAAGATAAAGACCCCCCAAAAATGAAACCATTTCAAGTGCAACCTTAAATTTTAACTACGTCCAGCCCAAATGTCTTGGTATTTTCTATCTGTTTAATGGAGGCATTTTGTTTTTATGTATTTAGGTAGTTGATGGCCAAGAGCAAGACAAGTCTGAGCATGAACGCATTTGAGTGTGAGATATTAGACATAATATCTCAAGTTCAGGCTGGAGAAATAAAACACTACAAAACTCAGACAAAACTACATCAAGTTATAAAAATTAGTGCCAGTCAAAACAAGCAGAAAACTTTATATTTAACACAAAACTACAAATAAGCCTCAACAACTAAATATAAATACAGATGTTCACCTTTTGCTTTTGTCTCTTTTCAGCAGACTTGCTTTCAGTTATTTTCACACATATCTGACTGCAGTAAAACGAGCTAAGTGGGTTGTTACCAAAATAAGTAATTTTTTAAGTTAACTGATTGACTAATTTTACAATGGTAGAGATAAAGAAGTTTGTTTACGGAAAAAAATGTGTTTTTTTTTTTTTTTTAACCATAGAAAGGGTACATATCACATGACAGTGAGTTATAGTACAGAAAAATGCTTCATTACTAAAACGGAAATATTCATTCATCTATGTGTTTGACTGCCTGAAGCTAAAGCTTTAATCTGGTCTAAACTGTGGACACTCCCTATTCAAATACAGTCTGGTATATACAGTACACTGTTCACTATCCCAGTTATCAGACAACACGTCCACAACATTCTCCATTTACAGTTCAGAGCTTCAACAGGAAGATGAATCTAAGTTATTGTGCTTTTATGGTACTAGTTTCATGTAAGTTCCACATTTTTCAGACTGTTGCTGTTATCTAGAATATTCTCTCCTCTAAGAGTATAATTTCATGGAGTTAATCATTCTCAATCAATCATATTATTTACTGTCTAATCTTTTTTTCAGATACTTATGGACAAGGACTGACCTCCTCTGAGTCAGTGGTGGAGAAACCTGGGAGATCAGTCACTCTGTCCTGTTCTGTGTCTGGTTTCTCAATGAGTTACCGGCACATGCACTGGATCCGTCAGAAACCTGGACAAGGACTGGAGTGGATCGGTTTCATTGATAGTGGCACAGGCACTAGATTTGCCCAGTCACTACAGGGCCAGTTCTCCATCACTAAAGACACCAGTAAAAACATGCTGTACCTGCAGGTGAAGAGCCTAAAAGCTGAAGACACGGCTGTTTATTACTGTGCGCTGGAGTCACACTGATACAAAAAGGCTACAGACTCGTATAAAAACCTGCTCAAGCTCATCTTCTGTTGGCCAGACGTGACAGAGCTGTAAACATCCTCTTAGCAATGAGCAGAAACAACATTATCTAGATGTGAAGATCTGAGTATTAGAATCAGGTGTGTTGGAGCTAAACTCTCTGAGTTGTAGATCTCCAGGAATGTACTTGGTCACACCTGCTGTGTGGGATAATTAATATTCAACATAATTTTAGAAAATACTTAATTATCTTGTGATCACCTGTTTGGTCAAAAAATGAATTATGTGAAGGGTGACAAATAAATATACTATCAGAAGTTGATAAATTATTAGTATTTGATATGTGCACCCTTTGCCCTCCTCAGCTGATGCTGAATGAAGATTCATTGGTCTTCGGAGACTGAAAACATGGCTCTGTACCATGACACAAGAACGCCTTGATATTGCTGTGTGTTATATACACAAGAAAAAGCTGGACAAATTAGACAGGATGGTGACTGTACAGCAAATTGTGGCTTGCAGGGAGAACAACATATATGTGTGTGTGTGTGTGTATGTGTGTGAGTGTGTGTGTGTGTTTGTAAACCTTATAATATGGGGACTTCAGCCAGTAAGCACACCAATAAAGTGGGGACGTGTGTCATCGTGGGGACCAAAAATCGAGTCCCCACAAAGTTAACCATTGTAGCATGTCTATTTCGTTGGGCTGAACCTCCCCCCTTAAAATCTCGGAAGTCCCCAAGATGAACACAATCTCGACAAAAAGTGTGCGAGTGCTTAGGGGGAACTGCTCAAAGTGTGTACACGCCCCCTGTGGCCAAAGACTGTAAAAACAACTGCGGACGCACACTTGATCACGTGGTACAGCAATGCTGAACTCTGATTGGTTGAAACGGGAAGCAATCAGTGGAACTGTGAGCCAATGAGGTATCACCTTGATCAGTGCTGCAGTTTCCCAGTCCGAAGTGACTGTGCCGAGCTAGCCCAGCGCCTGAGAGCTCTGTGAGTGAACTTTCACCATCAGACGGAATGTTTTCAGCGACTACATGTTTAATTAATAAACTGTGCTCGAATATAAACCTTAATAGTGCTGTAAATTTAAGATTTTAGTTTCAGTAGTGCCGTGTTCTCGTTAATTAGCTAGCGCTAGTTAGCTGGCTGTTCTAGCCTGTTAGCTCAGCCCTGACGGGGCATTTAAGGCCTTTAACCTGCCTCCCTGTATCAGCCCGTTTATCGAGACAGTTCGCGCTACGATGCCTATGAATGTTTAACGCGTCTTCCGTAGAGAAGCTGGTGAAGTGTTTAAGGGTGAAAGCTTGGTAATGAGGAGGAAGAGCCCGACAAACGACGCTGTTTTCCACATCACCGCCGGCCGCGACAGAGCGGGGCTGGATGTGAAGTACATTGGTTCGTTTAAAGGTGAGCAGAGCAGGTAGATCAGCTTTGACTGAACCTCGACACAGAGAAGGTCGTGTTAGCGCGGTCTGTGGTTGCTGATTAAGGCAGGGGAGTGTTTGCCGTGACGAACTTCGCGAGAGGAGAGTTCGTGCTGGAGTACAGAGGAGACCTGATCAGTGCGGAGGAGAGTCGGAGAAGACAGCGGGTTTATCACAGCGCCGTGAAAGCGTTCCTGTTCGACTTCATCTGGCACGGAAAGCTCTGGACGTGAGTAACTCTTCCCTTCTTCTCTCTCGGCCTGCGGGGTTAAAGGTGGGGAGGTTTCGGCCGCGGCGCTCAGAGCCGCGCTGAGCGGAGATGGGGACGGGAGGCTGGTGTTAGATGGGCTATAAACGCTTTATTACTGCGACTCATTCATATTTAAACCTTTAAAGATCTAACATTCATCTGTGATCAGCGCCGAGGTGTTTGGCAGCGTCGTCGTTTTGTTTACAGACGCGTTGGCCATTTACTGTGATCGACCTCCGTTTTTAATCACATCTAATGATGACGTGTGTTTTTATCAGAACAGCGACCTGGCTAGCTTTTATAATGCGCCTTATTCAGTCGTGTTGTCTTTTTCGGTAAATGTATAGCAACTTTCCCCTGACGCGATTTTAAAGGGCCACCGCATCAGAACCAGCGAGGTGCTGGTCGTAATTCTAAAGTTATTGGTTAAGATCATGACCTCTTGACCCTCCTGATCCTGAGCCACACGTGGATTTAGTTCGCATCATCTTTAAATTTAGTATAATTTCCGTTATCCAGCTCTGTTTTCCACATTTTCTAATCTGTTTATGTATGGCGTACATATTGTGCTTTGTAGTCTTTCTTTAGTTCACTACTATTTCTATTTAACAAAATGTCATGTTCCTTAACTCAAAATGCATAATCACCCCTGCCTGTAGACGCATATTGAGCACAGTTACTTAAGAGGTAGAAGGAAACTGTGAATAGTCTAACAATGATAATATATTAATATGAGCAAAATGATAATGACACTATTATTAAGTGAAATAACTGAAAATAGTGTATTGTTTGCTTTCATTACATTTTTAAATTTTACAACTATACAACTAAAATATTACTTTTTGTCACTAAATAACTCTTCTGTTTGTTCAAATTCAGCATTGATGCTGCAAGGGATGATGGCACACTTGGAAGACTGGTTAATGACGACCACATTAACCCCAACTGTAAAATGAAGAGAATCATTGTGGAGGGAAGGCCACATTTGTGCCTTTTTGCTTTAAGAGACATAACACCTGGAGAGGAGATTACGTATAATTATGGAGATGGTGATTGTCCCTGGAGGAGTGAGGTAAGAATGTTACTTCTTGTACCAGTTGTGGATAATTAAATACCAAATAGTGAATATATTTCTAAGATATCATATCCATAATGTAAATGGAAGCTTGAAATTAAAGGATACTGTTAATTTGAGTTTATGCAGACTATCTAGAGATGATCAGAACAATTCCAATCAGTTACAGTATGGTACTGCTAACATGTTGCATGCTGTTTCCATAACAGGATTTCCCTCTTATTTTTGTGTTTAATAATGACTGTTGTGTCCATTTCAGGTGACAAAAAGTGGAATGGAAGCAGACAACAATCATCTGGAGTCAGAAGGTGCCTCTGGAGATGATCAGCATTGCACCAAGCATTTACAGCACAAATCTGCTTTTGGCGTCCAGGTAAGCAAACTGCTAAAATTCAAGCATGTTCACACAGGTAATGCTAAGTCTGCACAATGTGTAAAGTAGTCAACCAGTATCAGGAGAGTCTGGCTGCAGACATGCGCTCTCAGACAGATGCAGTCTCAGCCCCAATCACGTCATGTGCTCTCTGCCAATGGCTGAAACAGCCCAATGGCACATTAACTTTTGGCTGCTGTTATTTAGCGATATCATCACTTAATCCATTTTTCATCCATAACATGGCTAGAGAGTGACATTTAATGCACCTCCCTGTTGAATAAAAATCATAGAACGCATTAAAAGTGTCTGTTGGTTTCTGGTGGTTTTCAGTAGTGGCTAATGGTATTCTGTGTTTTCCTGATGGGTTAATATCACAGTGTGAAGGATTCCGATCGTTTAATCAGGTGTTCTGGGACTGATTCCACATATGTTTGATTATTTCCTAATGGTCTCTAACGGCAACCATCAAGCCAATTCCCGTTAGGAAGCCAAACCGTCAGGTTTTATTCCTAACAGCCCTGCAAACACAATTACACTTTGACAACCTACTGTTTCAATGCCCACAGCGTCGTCTGCTTGGTGCTCTTTACATTGTCATAACATTGTAATGTAATTTTTCAGAAAGGTATGAACGTTGTCTGACAACTTTCTAGGAGGTTGTGACGACGTTGATGAGACAGCAAAAGTAATCAGTACTATGGTGACTGTACGTTGTCATTAGCTCCTAGAATCCTTAATAAGTTTTAATCAATATTACAGTTTTTGATGACCGGTTCTAATTGTCAGCATGGCTTTCATGAGTTTCAGCAGCAGCCTGTTTGTCTTTTCTGTGAATAAACCCGACATTCATGTCTTATTGCTGTGGTAGGCTTTATTTTGAAAGTTTCCATATTTAATTACCTTATTATCAGTATGGCAACATCATTATATATTCAGTGTAACTCCTGCTGCCCAGCAGTACGCGTTTCGCTGTTTTTACTCATAAAACTCACAAAAACACTGTTGTGGCGGAGCGGCACTGACGTCATTAATAGGCTGCTGGTGCATGTCAGGCTGAGAGTGCATGTCTGTTCATATACCTCAGTTATGAAATTTATGCGCTGCTGCTCCATAAACCTGCTTTGCATGTATTAATCCCTTCTGCTTTTTTCATGTGGACTATGCACATCTACCTCATCGCCTTCAACCATGACATCTCTGAGATGCTATTCCTTGATCACACTGTGCATTTGCTAACCTGTTGAGCTTCTCTCATGCAGACTATGCTCGGCTGACCCATCCATCTCATGATGCTGCACCATTTGCTGTTCGTTTTCTAAACCTAACTTCATTTACTCCTTTACCAGGGTTATCTCAGTACTGTTACAAGATGCCTTCTCTGTGCTGTTCATGTCATATATTTCTCGTTTTGTATACTATAATTTTTTTTTTTTTTTGGTCTTTTTCAGATTCTCCTCAGCAGAGCTGTAAAATGCTCTCTTCTCTAACAACTCAACAGTGATACAGATGTGATGCTGTACCTCAGTTACATTGTACGGTTACTTATCCTAATTGAATTTACTCCAGCTACTTCTTTTCTAGTGTCTCATTAATGGTGCTGAGGAATATCTCATCTTGCCGCTTAGAGAAAGTACCAAGCAATCATGTATACCAGCTTTACTCCATGTTTCACTAATGCTATTTTTTTACTCCAGTTTCTTCCATTCTAAGGTGTCTGTGATGCTCCTGCATGCCATCTCATCTCACTCATACCACTCATCAGCTGTAACACTGCAGCTTCACTGTGCTCTGAGTCTGCTAATGCTAATCTCATTTCCTCCAGCTCTTTCCTTAACACTGCTGCACTGAAGTTTTCTTCTTGCTTTTTCTGTGTCACTGTTGCTCTTCCACAGCTCCATTTCACTCAGTGTCACGTCAGTATTACAGATCCATTGTTTACATTCCCTTTTTTGGGACCAGCATCTACAGTAGCAAGCTCTTTCACTGCTGTCTGTTTACTGCTCTTGGGCTGCTGAGCCATTGGCTTTAGACCTCGATTCTGTAAAGCTACCATGCAACATTTTGCAAAAGTGCATTCAGTGTCCACCCTGTGCCATCTTTGTGTTTCCAATCTTGCAACCCTTGCCTTGTAACTTGTAGCAACCTCCTCTTCAGCTGGGTCAAGGATCATGGAAAGCTCATTATTAAATTTATTGTGGTGTGGCAGGGGTTATTTGGAGTAAAACAGAAGTGATCTAGTGTTATCAGCATTCTTTTCCTGTTTTCTGTTCTGTGATCTCTCCTTATTTTACAGTATATTGAATGCAGGCTTTGAACTAGCAAAATGTGTTTATTGGTAATTGTTTTGTCTATTTCAGATGACAAAAAATGAAATGGAAGCAGGAAGTAATCGTCTGGAGTCAGATGGTGCCTCTGGAGGCACAGCATCACAGCATGAGTCTACTTTCTGTAACGAGGTATGAAACTGCTTATTTTCTTATATTTTTACATGGTAAACGTCAGGTCCCCACGATGTACACTGTAATCTCATCTACCTTTGTTGGCAAAAGATTTTCAATTGACTAGTGGGGCCCTTCTCCCACTGAGTCCCCACACTGTCTTTAAAAGTGAAGGTTTTACACAAAGTCCTCACAAGACATCTACCCTAAAATATTATCATTTTAATCTAGAAATATTTTTTTGGTTGGTGTGTTTAGCCTAAAAATACTTTCTACAACTTGACAGCGTTCAGCTTAGTTGTAGTATGTCAGCATTGCTTTTACTTTTGGGCTTATTGGTAATTGTTTTGTCTATTTCAGATGACAAAAAATGGAACGGAAGCAGGAAGTAATCGTCTGGAGTCAGATGGTACCTCTGGAGACGATCACCATCACACCCAGCATTCACAGCATGAGTCTACTTTCTGTAACGAGGTATGAAACTGCTAATTTTCTTATATTTTTTGCATGGTAAACGTCAAGTCCCCACAATGTACACTGTAATCTACCACGGTTGGCAAAAGATTTTCAATTGACTAGCGGTGCCCTTCCCCCACTGAGTCCCCACAATGTCTTTAAAAGTGAAGGTTTTACACAAAGTCCTCACAAGGCATCTACTTTAAAATATTATCATTTTAATCTAGAAATATTTTTTTGGTTGGTGTGTTTAGCCTAAAAATACTTTCTACAACTTGACAGCGTTCAGCTTAGTTGTAGTATGTCAGCATTGCTTTTACTTTTGGGCTTATTGGTAATTGTTTTGTCTATTTCAGATGACAAAAAATGGAACGGAAGCAGCCAGTAATCGTCTGGAGTCAGATGGTACCTCTGGAGACGATCACCATCACACCAGCATTCACAGCATGAGTCTACTTTCTGTAACGAGGTATGAAACTGCTAATTTTCTTATATTTTTTGTATGGTAAACGTCAAGTCCCCACAATGTACACTGTAATCTACCACGGTTGGCAAAAGATTTTCAATTGACTAGTGGTGCCCTTCCCCCACTGAGTCCCCACATTGTCTTTAAAAGTGGTTTTACACAAAGTCCTCACAAGGCATCTACTTTAAAATATTATCATTTTAATCTAGAAATATTTTTTGGTTGGTGTGTTTAGCCTAAAAATACTTTCTACAACTTGACAGCGTTCAGCTTAGTTGTAGTATGTCAGCATTGCTTTTACTTTTGGGCTTATTGGTAATTGTTTTGTCTATTTCAGATGACAAAAAATGGAACGGAAGCAGCCAGTAATCGTCTGGAGTCAGATGGTACCTCTGGAGACGATCACCATCACACCCAGCATTCACAGCATGAGTCTACTTTCTGTAACGAGGTATGAAACTGCTAATTTTCTTATATTTTTTGCATGGTAAACGTCAAGTCCCCACAATGTACACTGTAATCTACCACGGTTGGCAAAAGATTTTCAGTTGACTAGTGGTGCCCTTCCCCCACTGAGTCCCCACACTGTCTTTAAAAGTGGTTTTACACAAAGTCCTCACAAGGCATCTACTTTAAAATATTATCATTTTAATCTAGAAATATTTTTTGGTTGGTGTGTTTAGCCTAAAAATACTTTCTACAACTTGACAGCGTTCAGCTTAGTTGTAGTATGTCAGCATTGCTTTTACTTTTGGGCTTATTGGTAATTGTTTTGTCTATTTCAGATGACAAAAAATGGAACGGAAGCAGCCAGTAATCGTCTGGAGTCAGATGGTACCTCTGGAGACGATCACCATCACACCCAGCATTCACAGCATGAGTCTACTTTCTGTAACGAGGTATGAAACTGCTAATTTTCTTATATTTTTTGCATGGTAAACGTCAAGTCCCCACAATGTACACTGTAATCTACCACGGTTGGCAAAAGATTTTCAGTGACTAGTGGTGCCCTTCCCCCACTGAGTCCCCACACTGTCTTTAAAAGTGGTTTTACACAAAGTCCTCACAAGGCATCTACTTTAAAATATTATCATTTTAATCTAGAAATATTTTTTGGTTGGTGTGTTTAGCCTAAAAATACTTTCTACAACTTGACAGCGTTCAGCTTAGTTGTAGTATGTCAGCATTGCTTTTACTTTTGGGCTTATTGGTAATTGTTTTGTCTATTTCAGATGACAAAAATGGAACGGAAGCAGCCAGTAATCGTCTGGAGTCAGATGGTACCTCTGGAGACGATCACCATCACACCCAGCATTCACAGCATGAGTCTACTTCTGTAACGAGGTATGAAACTGCTAATTTTCTTATATTTTTTGCATGGTAAACGTCAAGTCCCCACAATGTACACTGTAATCTACCACGGTTGGCAAAAGATTTCCAGTTGACTAGTGGTGCCCTTCCCCCACTGAGTCCCCACACTGTCTTTAAAAGTGAAGGTTTTACACAAAGTCCTCACAAGGCATCTACTTTAAAATATTATCATTTTAATCTAGAAATATTTTTTTGGTTGGTGTGTTTAGCCTAAAAATACTTTCTACAACTTGACAGCGTTCAGCTTAGTTGTAGTATGTCAGCATTGCTTTTACTTTTGGGCTTATTGGTAATTGTTTTTGTCTATTTCAGATGACAAAAAATGGAACGGAAGCAGCCAGTAATCGTCTGGAGTCAGATGGTACCTCTGGAGACGATCACCATCACACCCAGCATTCACAGCATGAGTCTACTTTCTGTAACGAGGTATGAAACTGCTAATTTTCTTATATTTTTTGTATGGTAAACGTCAAGTCCCCACAATGTACACTGTAATCTACCACGGTTGGCAAAAGATTTTCAATTGACTAGCGGTGCCCTTCCCCCACTGAGTCCCCACAATGTCTTTAAAAGTGAAGGTTTTACACAAAGTCCTCACAAGGCATCTACTTTAAAATATTATCATTTTAATCTAGAAATATTTTTTTGGTTGGTGTGTTTAGCCTAAAAATACTTTCTACAACTTGACAGCGTTCAGCTTAGTTGTAGTATGTCAGCATTGCTTTTACTTTTGGGCTTATTGGTAATTGTTTTGTCTATTTCAGATGACAAAAAATGGAACGGAAGCAGCCAGTAATCGTCTGGAGTCAGATGGTACCTCTGGAGACGATCACCATCACACCCAGCATTCACAGCATGAGTCTACTTTCTGTAACGAGGTATGAAACTGCTAATTTTCTTATATTTTTTGCATGGTAAACGTCAAGTCCCCACAATGTACACTGTAATCTACCACGGTTGGCAAAAGATTTTCAGTTGACTAGTGGTGCCCTTCCCCCACTGAGTCCCCACACTGTCTTTAAAAGTGAAGGTTTTACACAAAGTCCTCACAAGGCATCTACTTTAAAATATTATCATTTTAATCTAGAAATATTTTTTTGGTTGGTGTGTTTAGCCTAAAAATACTTTCTACAACTTGACAGCGTTCAGCTTAGTTGTAGTATGTCAGCATTGCTTTTACTTTTGGGCTTATTGGTAATTGTTTTGTCTATTTCAGATGACAAAAAATGGAACGGAAGCAGCCAGTAATCGTCTGGAGTCAGATGGTACCTCTGGAGACGATCACCATCACACCCAGCATTCACAGCATGAGTCTACTTTCTGTAACGAGGTATGAAACTGCTAATTTTCTTATATTTTTTGCATGGTAAACGTCAAGTCCCCACAATGTACACTGTAATCTACCACGGTTGGCAAAAGATTTTCAATTGACTAGCGGTGCCCTTCCCCCACTGAGTCCCCACACTGTCTTTAAAAGTGAAGGTTTTACACAAAGTCCTCACAAGGCATCTACTTTAAAATATTATCATTTTAATCTAGAAATATTTTTTTGGTTGGTGTGTTTAGCCTAAAAATACTTTCTACAACTTGACAGCGTTCAGCTTAGTTGTAGTATGTCAGCATTGCTTTTACTTTTGGGCTTATTGGTAATTGTTTTGTCTATTTCAGATGACAAAAAATGGAACGGAAGCAGCCAGTAATCGTCTGGAGTCAGATGGTACCTCTGGAGACGATCACCATCACACCCAGCATTCACAGCATGAGTCTACTTTCTGTAACGAGGTATGAAACTGCTAATTTTCTTATATTTTTTGCATGGTAAACGTCAAGTCCCCACAATGTACACTGTAATCTACCACGGTTGGCAAAAGATTTTCAATTGACTAGCGGTGCCCTTCCCCCACTGAGTCCCCACACTGTCTTTAAAAGTGAAGGTTTTACACAAAGTCCTCACAAGGCATCTACTTTAAAATATTATCATTTTAATCTAGAAATATTTTTTTGGTTGGTGTGTTTAGCCTAAAAATACTTTCTACAACTTGACAGCGTTCAGCTTAGTTGTAGTATGTCAGCATTGCTTTTACTTTTGGGCTTATTGGTAATTGTTTTGTCTATTTCAGATGACAAAAAATGGAACGGAAGCAGCCAGTAATCGTCTGGAGTCAGATGGTACCTCTGGAGACGATCACCATCACACCCAGCATTCACAGCATGAGTCTACTTTCTGTAACGAGGTATGAAACTGCTAATTTTCTTATATTTTTTGCATGGTAAACGTCAAGTCCCCACAATGTACACTGTAATCTACCACGGTTGGCAAAAGATTTTCAATTGACTAGTGGTGCCCTTCCCCCACTGAGTCCCCACATTGTCTTTAAAAGTGGTTTTACACAAAGTCCTCACAAGGCATCTACTTTAAAATATTATCATTTTAATCTAGAAATATTTTTTGGTTGGTGTGTTTAGCCTAAAAATACTTTCTACAACTTGACAGCGTTCAGCTTAGTTGTAGTATGTCAGCATTGCTTTTACTTTTGGGCTTATTGGTAATTGTTTTGTCTATTTCAGATGACAAAAAATGGAACGGAAGCAGCCAGTAATCGTCTGGAGTCAGATGGTACCTCTGGAGACGATCACCATCACACCCAGCATTCACAGCATGAGTCTACTTTCTGTAACGAGGTATGAAACTGCTAATTTTCTTATATTTTTTGCATGGTAAACGTCAAGTCCCCACAATGTACACTGTAATCTACCACGGTTGGCAAAAGATTTTCAGTTGACTAGTGGTGCCCTTCCCCCACTGAGTCCCCACACTGTCTTTAAAAGTGGTTTTACACAAAGTCCTCACAAGGCATCTACTTTAAAATATTATCATTTTAATCTAGAAATATTTTTTGGTTGGTGTGTTTAGCCTAAAAATACTTTCTACAACTTGACAGCGTTCAGCTTAGTTGTAGTATGTCAGCATTGCTTTTACTTTTGGGCTTATTGGTAATTGTTTTGTCTATTTCAGATGACAAAAAATGGAACGGAAGCAGCCAGTAATCGTCTGGAGTCAGATGGTACCTCTGGAGACGATCACCATCACACCCAGCATTCACAGCATGAGTCTACTTTCTGTAACGAGGTATGAAACTGCTAATTTTCTTATATTTTTTGCATGGTAAACGTCAAGTCCCCACAATGTACACTGTAATCTACCACGGTTGGCAAAAGATTTTCAGTTGACTAGTGGTGCCCTTCCCCCACTGAGTCCCCACACTGTCTTTAAAAGTGGTTTTACACAAAGTCCTCACAAGGCATCTACTTTAAAATATTATCATTTTAATCTAGAAATATTTTTTGGTTGGTGTGTTTAGCCTAAAAATACTTTCTACAACTTGACAGCGTTCAGCTTAGTTGTAGTATGTCAGCATTGCTTTTACTTTTGGGCTTATTGGTAATTGTTTTGTCTATTTCAGATGACAAAAAATGGAACGGAAGCAGCCAGTAATCGTCTGGAGTCAGATGGTACCTCTGGAGACGATCACCATCACACCCAGCATTCACAGCATGAGTCTACTTTCTGTAACGAGGTATGAAACTGCTAATTTTCTTATATTTTTTGCATGGTAAACGTCAAGTCCCCACAATGTACACTGTAATCTACCACGGTTGGCAAAAGATTTTCAGTTGACTAGTGGTGCCCTTCCCCCACTGAGTCCCCACACTGTCTTTAAAAGTGAAGGTTTTACACAAAGTCCTCACAAGGCATCTACTTTAAAATATTATCATTTTAATCTAGAAATATTTTTTTGGTTGGTGTGTTTAGCCTAAAAATACTTTCTACAACTTGACAGCGTTCAGCTTAGTTGTAGTATGTCAGCATTGCTTTTACTTTTGGGCTTATTGGTAATTGTTTTGTCTATTTCAGATGACAAAAAATGGAACGGAAGCAGCCAGTAATCGTCTGGAGTCAGATGGTACCTCTGGAGACGATCACCATCACACCCAGCATTCACAGCATGAGTCTACTTTCTGTAACGAGGTATGAAACTGCTAATTTTCTTATATTTTTTGCATGGTAAACGTCAAGTCCCCACAATGTACACTGTAATCTACCACGGTTGGCAAAAGATTTTCAATTGACTAGCGGTGCCCTTCCCCCACTGAGTCCCCACACTGTCTTTAAAAGTGAAGGTTTTACACAAAGTCCTCACAAGGCATCTACTTTAAAATATTATCATTTTAATCTAGAAATATTTTTTTGGTTGGTGTGTTTAGCCTAAAAATACTTTCTACAACTTGACAGCGTTCAGCTTAGTTGTAGTATGTCAGCATTGCTTTTACTTTTGGGCTTATTGGTAATTGTTTTGTCTATTTCAGATGACAAAAAATGGAACGGAAGCAGCCAGTAATCGTCTGGAGTCAGATGGTACCTCTGGAGACGATCACCATCACACCCAGCATTCACAGCATGAGTCTACTTTCTGTAACGAGGTATGAAACTGCTAATTTTCTTATATTTTTTGCATGGTAAACGTCAAGTCCCCACAATGTACACTGTAATCTACCACGGTTGGCAAAAGATTTTCAGTTGACTAGCGGTGCCCTTCCCCCACTGAGTCCCCACACTGTCTTTAAAAGTGAAGGTTTTACACAAAGTCCTCACAAGGCATCTACTTTAAAATATTATCATTTTAATCTAGAAATATTTTTTTGGTTGGTGTGTTTAGCCTAAAAATACTTTCTACAACTTGACAGCGTTCAGCTTAGTTGTAGTATGTCAGCATTGCTTTTACTTTTGGGCTTATTGGTAATTGTTTTGTCTATTTCAGATGACAAAAAATGGAACGGAAGCAGCCAGTAATCGTCTGGAGTCAGATGGTACCTCTGGAGACGATCACCATCACACCCAGCATTCACAGCATGAGTCTACTTTCTGTAACGAGGTATGAAACTGCTAATTTTCTTATATTTTTTGCATGGTAAACGTCAAGTCCCCACAATGTACACTGTAATCTACCACGGTTGGCAAAAGATTTTCAATTGACTAGCGGTGCCCTTCCCCCACTGAGTCCCCACACTGTCTTTAAAAGTGAAGGTTTTACACAAAGTCCTCACAAGGCATCTACTTTAAAATATTATCATTTTAATCTAGAAATATTTTTTGGTTGGTGTGTTTAGCCTAAAAATACTTTCTACAACTTGACAGCGTTCAGCTTAGTTGTAGTATGTCAGCATTGCTTTTACTTTTGGGCTTATTGGTAATTGTTTTGTCTATTTCAGATGACAAAAAATGGAACGGAAGCAGCCAGTAATCGTCTGGAGTCAGATGGTACCTCTGGAGACGATCACCATCACACCCAGCATTCACAGCATGAGTCTACTTTCTGTAACGAGGTATGAAACTGCTAATTTTCTTATATTTTTTGCATGGTAAACGTCAAGTCCCCACAATGTACACTGTAATCTACCACGGTTGGCAAAAGATTTTCAATTGACTAGCGGTGCCCTTCCCCCACTGAGTCCCCACACTGTCTTTAAAAGTGAAGGTTTTACACAAAGTCCTCACAAGGCATCTACTTTAAAATATTATCATTTTAATCTAGAAATATTTTTTTGGTTGGTGTGTTTAGCCTAAAAATACTTTCTACAACTTGACAGCGTTCAGCTTAGTTGTAGTATGTCAGCATTGCTTTTACTTTTGGGCTTATTGGTAATTGTTTTGTCTATTTCAGATGACAAAAAATGGAACGGAAGCAGCCAGTAATCGTCTGGAGTCAGATGGTACCTCTGGAGACGATCACCATCACACCCAGCATTCACAGCATGAGTCTACTTTCTGTAACGAGGTATGAAACTGCTAATTTTCTTATATTTTTTGCATGGTAAACGTCAAGTCCCCACAATGTACACTGTAATCTACCACGGTTGGCAAAAGATTTTCAATTGACTAGCGGTGCCCTTCCCCCACTGAGTCCCCACACTGTCTTTAAAAGTGAAGGTTTTACACAAAGTCCTCACAAGGCATCTACTTTAAAATATTATCATTTTAATCTAGAAATATTTTTTTGGTTGGTGTGTTTAGCCTAAAAATACTTTCTACAACTTGACAGCGTTCAGCTTAGTTGTAGTATGTCAGCATTGCTTTTACTTTTGGGCTTATTGGTAATTGTTTTGTCTATTTCAGATGACAAAAAATGGAACGGAAGCAGCCAGTAATCGTCTGGAGTCAGATGGTACCTCTGGAGACGATCACCATCACACCCAGCATTCACAGCATGAGTCTACTTTCTGTAACGAGGTATGAAACTGCTAATTTTCTTATATTTTTTGCATGGTAAAGGTTAAGTCCCCACAATGTACACTGTAATTTACTAGGTTTGGCAAAAGATTAGAAAGCACTCACTCCTGCAGTCTCAGTGGATTTAAATAATTTTTCTCACCGATCTATATAAAAATGAACACAAATTAAAATTATAAATCTCCTGTGTACCTTGCATTGAAGCCATTTGGTAGAGCCACCTTAACAATTTCAGTTTTCAGTTTTCATAGATCTGTATAATCACCCTAAAGTAGAGGTCACTAATAGGTGGACTGCGGTCCGAGTCCAGACCCAGACGTTGTTCCATACTGACTGGACCCATAAATTCTGGATAATTATTTAATTTTATTGGGTTGGTCCTATTTTAATCGGCGTATCATTTCTAGTCATTATGGTACCGTTTTAGCGGCCCAGAAAACTCACAGACCAATCACAGGCGTTGTAAATATCACACATGACGCTACTCAGCCAATCAGATCTGTGCATTACAATGAGCACAGAGACTCGAGGGAGTGAAGCCACACAGGGGAGGGACAAGGCAAGACAAAGCAGTTGGAGAAGAAAGTGAGTCAGAGGGAAATTACTTCACATGGCGTGATCTAAAAAGAGAAAACTGACAATAAAATGTTGAAATATTACTGAATTGTACTTTACTTGATTTGACATTCAGTTGTAGACTACATAAGATGTTGATATACCTACTAGGCTACTTCAGTGAACAGTACATGGCACTGAATCATAATGGAAGTTAGACATTATGATGTTCTGGACCTTTGCTTGATTTTCGTTAACTGGACCTTATTGAATTTTAATTAAATACCCCTGCTCTAAAGGTCAAATTTGGCCTTTGGCCAACTAGCTGAAATGATGCAAGATGTTGTATTTGTTCAGTATCTGTCCCTTAGCCTGTACTTTTCAATAACCGTGTTAAGGTGTTGTTTTGGGTGGGTTTTTTGTGTTCATAGTGTAGTTTTTGCCAGGAAATGTACTCATTAGTAGTTGTTTTATATAGAGGCACAGTTATGCTGTAACCACTTTGAAACACATTTAAAACACATTGACCACATTTTAAAAATATGGTAACTTTCAAAATCAGGATGAAAAATCAGTAAATGTTTTCCTGTTTAATAGATATAAGGAAAAAGAGACTGCTTGGTGTAAGATCCTTAGCACATATTAGCCCCCTATATTATTGTTAAGTGCTGTCAAATTGTTTCCAACCCCTGGAGACCATATGGATGGTGTTTCTCCAGAATATCCTGGTCTTCTGTTCGGGTCTTCAGGCTTTATAATGGCCTCGTTCATTGTTCCTTGGATTGTATCTTCTTGCTTGGGCTCCACTTCCCAACTCTTCCAAGCATCATTGTCTTTTCCAGTGGTTCTTCTCAGAATATTCCCAAATCCCAAAGAGAGTGTCAGTTTATTATCTGGACTTTGAAAGTTGAGGCTTGATTTGGTCAAGGGCCCATTGTTTTGTTTCCTTTGGCATCCAACGTTCCCTCAAAAGACTTTGCCAGCAGTTCAAATGCATCAGTATTTCCCACCTTTTTTACTGACCAGCTTTCATATTCATAAAGAGCCACAGAGATGACCAGTCTGGACAGGTGTGATCTTTATGTGGAGAGACAGATTTTTGCATTTGAACATCTTTTCCAGTTTGACTGCTGGATCCTTTGTTGTTAATCAGTTAAAGTTGGCAAAAGCTGTCCATCTCTTTGACATCTTCTCCATCAGTGATACAGTTAGTGCTCTTTCTTATTGTCCTAACCTTGGTCTTAAGTTCCATCTTTTCACTCTGTTCTTTAACCTTTCTTATAAGGGCCTTTAGGTCTTCCTGATTTTCTGCTGTGAATGTCGTGTCATCCGCATATTGAAGGTTATTGATATCTTCCACCTGCGTCTCTCATTATATGTTCAGCATACAGGTTGAACAGGTATGATGACACAATGTAGCTTTGTCTAACTTGCTTGCCGTGGAACCATAATCTAGCATACATCAGGTAAGATGTTGTTGATTGATCTTTATTTCTTACTTTATTTTATATTTGGTATTCCAGTCACCAGCAGGATAACTTATTTGCAGGTCCTGTCAATTTCAGCCTGAGCTTCAACATAAAACTTTTTCATTTCTTCTTCATTAGCATCTGTTGTTGGGGAGTAAACCTGGATGAATGGAATGTTGAATGGTTATGCATGAAATTGGATTGACATCAGTCAGTCATTCACAGAATTGCATCCAATAATGGTCTTGTTGACATCCTTGTTGACAATAAAAGCCACTCCATTTCTTCTTTGTTGTTCATTACCTGACTAGTAGACTGTGTTTCTTTTCCAGCTTGCCATGATTCCTGCTTCAGACATTCCAAGTTCCGCTTGTAGCTTTGAATTCTCTTTTCTTGCTCATCAGCTAAAGCAAAAATCTTTGACCTAGCTGTGTCATGCAAGCAAGGTGTACTCAGAGGAATCCTCAGCTCTTCCCCAATAATAAGTTGAGTGCAAGATAATACCAAACATTTTGTTGTTCCTATCCATGTGATTTTCTTGGTAGAGTACAGAAGTGGTTTACCATTGGCTTCTTCTGCACAGTTGAACTGATGTCATTGCCATTGTCACCTGTGTGATAATCCACCTTCAACATTGTCCTATATCCCTGCTGCCCAGTATAGGTGGTAGTTTGCAACCATCTAGCAGCACCTTAAGAACCACATAGCAAGACCACATCAATGACATAGCAACACTCTAGCATTCACTTAGGACTTATCTCAGCAATCACTCTGCATTTTCATCAGGAAATGCATTTATATAGTATTATTTTTATTATTATATTATTAGTATTATTAGTATTATTATTTTGGCATGTCCTTAGCTATTTAAAGTATTTTCAAAAAGAGTGTGTTTCGTTTGGGTTTATGTAGATCCTGGAGCAGAACCGGACTTAGAACCGTCTACACAGCAAGCCCAGGAGACCTTGGCTGGACCACATCAGTTCCCAAAGGTATTGTCTGATAAATAAACATGATGGCAAGCTTTTATGACATTGAAAGACATTGTATGTTTTGACTAATAATGTTCTGCATTTATTCAGGTGTAAAGATGGTTAAGAGAAAGAAGTGGGAGACCGGTGAAGTGAAAGCAGTTGAAAAACATCTGAACAGGTTCATTAAAACTTGCACAGTGCCAGGAAAAAAAAGAAAGTGAGGCTTGTATAAAAGCTGATCCTGTTGCACTGAAAGACCGAGATGTTCTTTGTAAAGAACAGAATCACTGCACTTAAAAGGAAAATGTAAACCAGAACAAATGTCGTTTGCACAGTCTTTGTTTTTTTACGTTCATTGATTGTTCCAACAGAAAAAAAAGGTTTTATTTCATTGTATATTTTATTTGATGTCAATCTTTGAAAACAATGGTTCTTCAAGGGTTCTTTAGTAAAAACACAAAGAGCCATCTGCATGCTTAAATGTTTCGTCACATGGTGAAATGGTTTTTCAGTTTGGAGAATGTGTTGTTTATGGTTCTATTAATGAACCATTTTAAAATGGTTCTGTATAGCACCAAATAGAGTTCTGCTACAAGCTTGACATCAACACACTTGTAGAACCCTTTTTGTACTATACAGAACCATTTTTAAGTTCTTTTATAGAACCACATGCAACACAGTCTGAATAACCATTTACCATGAAACATAGTTCTATATAGAACCACTGTCTTTACCAAAGTTCTCTTGACAAAACATCTTTTTGAGCATTTTTTTAAATACTTATTATTTTTTTACTGGCAGCTTAAGTATTTAGTATTGCTTATGATTGCTTTAGATTTAAAAAGCAGTCATTAATTATCTGTGCAGAAATACTGTATCACAAACGGCAAAAAACTGGTTTAAAAAGAAACAATTAAAAGACCTGTTATTCATGTGTCTACATCAGTTGTCTTTTGTTACAAATATACCTTATAGGTGCATTTCAGCTGTTCATAACATTTTGTCCCCAGATTGTTCACAAGTACCTACATTGTACAAAATACCAGAAAGTTGTGTGTGTGTATCTGCTGGTCCCCACATGCTTTGAATACCGGAAATTGTCCCCAGAATGTAGGAAAATGTCACATTGTTTTATTAACGTATTTTCGTTATTTTGAAGTGACAGCCGTCTTTAAAACGCCAGTTGAAACATGAATCTGTCTTTCATTTGCTCCTAAAGCCTTTAGAAATGCGAGTCCCCACATTGTAGCATTGGGCTGGTAGTCCCCGAAATGCGCTTAGACAAGTATGTGTGTGTGTGTGTGTGTTTTCATAATCCACCTGGATTAGCATTACAGAAAAATATAATATTTATTGGTAAATAAAATAAAATGCAGATAAGTTAACATAACTGCTCCGCTCTTCTAAAGTTCAATAAAACATAATCAAATATCACTTTTAAATATTAGTCAAATCTAAACATCTGTTTGATGCTAGTCAGTATTTTAAGCAATGATCTGTTTTTTTGTTTTTTTTTAATTTTAATGGGATATATATGTATTGACATAGTCTACCTAATTTTGTATTGATTGTAAGCTGTATGAATAATGAATTTTAAAGGGATTTCTAAAAGTTTCACCGATAGAAAACTGTTCTGTTCAAAGTATTTTATGTTCTAAGGATGATCCTTTAATGATGAGTTTGATCCTTGTGTGAGTTAGTATGTGGGTGTGGCTTCCCAAGGTGGTGTGTGGGTATGTGAGTGTGTGTGAGGGGCTACTTACTGACAACTGTGTCACCCTTTCATGTTGAGGCCTCTAGAGGGCAGACAATTCAAAGATAAGAACACATTAAAAAAAAAGGGAACAGAGTTTTGCTCAACATCTGTAACAGACACATATACAATATACAATATGATCACTACCTTACTGTGTATACAAGATAAACTAAGTGAGAAGAATAGAGTGAAAGGAGGAGCTTCACAGTATTACCTTAAACTTAAACGCTTAAAATCTACAATAACTATTAGTTCCAGCTACTACATGCACTGGATAAGGCAGAAACCAGGGAAAGCTCTGGAATGGATTGGATATGTGAACTCGGGTGAAACTGATGAACCCACATATGCAGATTCCATGAAAGGCCACTTCATACTGACTGAGGACGTTTCCACAAGTACACAGTTCTTAGAGGCCAAGAGTCTGAGAGCAGAGGACACTGCTGTTTATTACTGCGCTCGAGGACACACAGTGATGGATCTGATGGAGCAGCTGTTCAAAAACTACCTATATAACAAAACACTAGGGCTGTAGTCAAGACTATGCCAGTCAAGTCTAAGACAATGACTAGTCCAGACTGAGTCAAGATCTAAACTATCAGTACCATCAGGACAAGTCATATGGTGTGTTCCATTCTGGAGGGAGCTGCCTAAATAGTCACCGCCTTCAACTGCCTTCACTGCCCTCTCTCTTTGGGCAGGATTTTAACTGAAAAGAAACTTTAGCAGGCATCACATTCGGGACAGTGGTTTCGTCATAAATTTCACTGTGCTGTACATCTGTTTACTTTCAGTCGCTGGTTAGACCACACTCACCTCCGACTGTAAAGGTGCATCATCTCCGTGTAAATGCATGGCTCAAAACCTGCAGCAGCTGTTTTCCTTGCATTGACAATGTTGTGGGAATTTGTGTATGAAGAACAGGCTGGTTTAAGGAGTCGGATCTGATGTTACATACTCGACTCAGCGTCCCAGACAAATACAGATAATCATGACTACTAGTTTGTGAATCATTCAGTTCAAAACTATGTATAATTCTGTACAAAATGCACTCAGAAAAACAGGTGACACTTTATTTTGAGTGGTCCTGTTTAGATGAAATAAACACCCAACAGACTCTGAGTAACATGTCAAAAACATACAAGGGTTAGGATTAGGTTTTAGGTTGAGGTTAAGGTTAGGGTTAGGATTAGGGCCAGGGTGAGTTGAGTAAGGATGCGTAATGGAAGTAACATTAATGATACATCTACTTAATATAAGTAATATATCAACAGAGCATCTACAAGATATTTACCTCAATGTACTCAGATGCTTCACTACTGCTACTTCACTGAAATGTTGTTGATGTGTTAGTGACAATCTGTTAAGAGCTTAATCATCTACAAATAAAGCGTTACCAAAAAAAAAAAAGTGTTGCACACAATCTGTTAATCTGGCTAATATGCTTTTTATTTATTTATATTTATGAGCTCCTAGTCTGAAATTTAGCTGTGAGCATTCACCTCACAATGATGTGACTTTGGTAAACACAGCAATACAAGACAAGCAGAGCAGGCAAAAATAAGCATTTGTGGTATTTATTTTTAAAAACATTTTATTTCTGAACTTCTGCATCACTTAGTAAGTTAAAGTCTAAGTAAAAAATGAGTTGCTTTCAGTCTTTAGCGCAGTTTTCTCCTCAAAACAGCTCCTGTTCCTCAGCTCTTCAGCCAGCACCTCTCTGCTTCTGTAACATAAGTTTCTGAGGACAGAAAAAAATCAAACTGATAAATTATTTACAAACAGGTAAACAGTATTATAGGATGGCCTTCATTGAGGAAGACACGTGCAATGCTGCCTTCAGATGAGGTCAAAATAAGGCACCTTAGCAGGCAGCTACCTTATGCTGCCTTCCGAATGGATCAGCCTTCGTCTCGGGAGCACCTTAAAATCCTGCCTACTTAGACAGTTGTGTCCGAATTGGAACACACAAGTAGTCTTGGACTTGACCAAAGCGGTCTCTACTACAGACCAAGTGAAGTCCAGGTTTGAGTGAGAGTGAGACTGAGCCAAAAAAAAGACCCCCCCAAAAAATTCACATACTGTAAGTAATTACATGATTAAGTACACATTTAAACAATAATAACAAATGCAGACATTGTCATATTTTCTCTTCTACTTACAAAGACAAATATGATGTGGATTGTAAGTTTAGAATGTGGCTTAAAAAAAACCAAAAAAAATAAAGCAAACATATATATATATTTTTTTTTAAATGGTCGCTGGTCTCAGAGACCGATGGCCAAGATGAAGACAAGTCCGAGCACAAATGCTATCAAGTCCAACACAACACACATAAGTCCAGACTTGAGAAGTACAGCTTACATTCATATATATGGGAAAATATTATGAAAATTACCACTGAAGTTCGACAATGAAACTTCATAAAAGTCATACAAATGGAAACAATATTTGAGGATCACAATGGAAATGGAAACACTTTAGTGTAAGACTGTTTATGTCAATACAGTGTCTTGCCTTCTTATAACATCTTAGCTCATCTTTCAATAGCTAGCATGAGCTGTTCATTAGTATTAAAGTATTACGTTAGCAACACACTATTCAATGCTCATGCTTGTGTTATGAAGTCCTCAGATAGCTTTCAAATACAGTGTTACCAGAAATACCTCATTATCCTGTGAATAATGTTTGGGCAAAATAAACAACTGTTTAATGCAGGTATGAATCATTAAACTATATTTATCTAATATGTTGTATCTTTTGTAAACTTCAGACCATTTCTACCCTGTATTTCAGTACACAAGGTTCTGAGATGTGCCCTTCCCAAAACAGTCAGAGATTAACTGACTTAGTTTGAATTAGAAGGTATGGACTGACCTTGGGCACTGAGACAGGCTTATTTATAACTGAGACAGTTGTACACTGTGTATAATTGGTCATGTTTTTTTTTTTTTATTTACAGTGGTTACATAGTGCGAAACTGAAAGGCCATCCTTCACCTATTGGATTTCTAGGCAAAACAGTCATTAAGTACAAGTTATTCATTTTTCAGCAACAGGAAAAAAAAGCCTCAAGCAAATATTTAACAAAAAATTACACAGAAGGCAAAATAAATAAATAAATAAATCCATACTCATAGCACTGAGTTGTCTTCTCACAGCGGAAAGATGGACAGAAAGAAACACCTGTGGATTTGTTCAGATCTGAGGAAAGAGTGCTGTTCATCTGATGATGAATTTTTGGTGGTCTATCAAGTCTTTCTCTGTCTGTTTTAATAAAACTCTAATGTTGAAAACTCCTCTTTTTCACTTATTTTCTTTTGGCTTTCTCCTTCTTTTTGCAAGTAGATCATGTACTATCTATTATCCTCTGAACTGTCTCCTGGAACAATTAATAACTTGTAAATATTGACTATTTTTAATGGAACTTAAATAATAGCATTACTATTTAATCTAAACTCTACAAACCAGAGAGTTTCATACTGATCACGAACATTATGCTTCCTGCAAATACACCATCTTGGAAATATGTGAGGACGAGCTATTCTGTGGTGCTTAGAATTCTATATGATTGATTTAAATTAATGGCTCAAGATGGTGTAATTGTTAAAATAATGTATTGTTTTATTTTTAAAATAGAAATGAAAAAGTAGCCCTAATATGGTTTTCAAGTGTA